TTTTTCACTTTCTGTGCAGTTTTTCATATATATATCCGTGTGTTTTTTCTTATTTTTGTGTATTATTGGAAGAAAAAAACAAGAAGAGGGTATAAATAAAATGATAACAAAATTTTGAAGATTATATTCTTTTATTATTATTAGCGAGAAGTGATTGAAAATCAAATGTGGAAATATTGTCGTGAAAGATGATATTATTTCTTCTTGCAGTTTTTTTATAACTAAAAAAACAAACAAACAAAGCATTGGCAATTTTCAGTCATGCGATAGTTCATATAGTTTATTTACAAGTATGTTTCAGTATATAGATAAGCAAATTTAAAAATAGTCGATTTTGCTCCTGTCTAATTTTAATTTTTTTTCTATTTCTTCCTCGTTTATGTTTGTGATCAATTAGTTAAAGTATTTCATTCGAAATTATTTCGTTTAATTAATAACAATGTTAGATGTGTATTTGAATAGATAGTAAACCACTCAGAGATGCTATCCTTCAATGTTGTTATGTTTCCTCTTGTGTACTATTTTCTCTTTCTCTCTATATGTTAATTCTATTTTCCATCCAGTCGAATATAGTTCTTTCCTTTTTTTTCTCTTTACTTATCCTTGCTATATGTTATTATAGTGTGGAATCGCAGCAGTATTTTTCCTAAAATGAAGAACAATCAATACACATCTATATTTTGTTCTATACGTCTGAATATATCCACAATACGCGTTCTACAAATGTGTACCACAAATAGGCGGGAAGCGGTTATCTATCTGTTTTTTTTTCTTCCGGCCGACCGTTGTCATAGCGATGTGTATACCCGATTTGGAATGTATTGATATGCATATTGTATGGAAAAGCAAAAGAAGGAGAAGAGAAAAAAAGAGAACTATTTTGGTACATCTGGATATATTCAAGAGGATATTGCGACTGCCTTTCTTTTCACGGACAATCTCGGTAGAGGAGACATACATATCTTACTATCATCTAAACCGTTATTTTAACGACTAAACATGTGTGACGAAGACGTTGCAGCAATTGTTATTGATAATGGATCGGGTAAGAAAATATTTTAAATAATAAAATTTCTTTAATTGAGTGAATTGGCTTTTTTTTTGTTACATATGAATAGGTATGTGCAAAGCTGGCTTTGCTGGTGATGATGCTCCTCGATCAGTATTTCCATCGGTTGTTGGTCGACCACGTCATCAAGCTGTTATGGTTGGTATGGGTCAAAAAGATTCCTATGTTGGTGATGAAGCTCAATCAAAACGTGGTATTTTAACACTTAAATATCCAATTGAACACGGTATTATTACAAATTGGGATGATATTGAAAAAATCTGGCATCATACTTTCTACAATGAACTTCGTGTTGCACCAGAAGAACACCCTGTTCTTCTTACTGAAGCTCCACTTAATCCAAAGGCTAACCGTGAAAAAATGACACAAATCATGTTTGAAACATTTAATTCACCAGGTAAAATTATTTGATACAAAAATAACAACAATGTTCTAACTATTGTTTTTGTTTCTAGCTATGTATGTCGCTATCCAAGCTGTACTTTCACTTTATGCTAGTGGTCGTACAACTGGTATTGTTCTTGATTCAGGCGATGGTGTTACACATGATGTACCTATCTATGAAGGTTATGCTTTACCTCATGCTATTCTCCGTCTTGATTTAGCTGGTCGTGATTTAACTGATTATTTGATGAAAATTCTTACTGAACGTGGTTATTCATTTGTAACAACCGCTGAACGTGAAATTGTCCGAGACATCAAAGAAAAATTATGTTATGTTGCATTAGATTTTGAACAAGAAATGGCAACAGCTGCATCAACATCATCATTAGAAAAAAGTTACGAATTACCTGATGGTCAAGTTATTACCATTGGTAATGAACGTTTCCGTTGTCCAGAATCACTCTTTCAACCATCATTTTTGGTAAAGAAAAAAAAAAAATTTTTTTTAATTTTAATTTTTATTAATTATTAATGAATAATTCTAGGGTATGGAAGTTGCTGGTATTCATGAAACAACATTCAATTCAATCATGAAATGCGATATTGATATCCGTAAAGATTTATATGCTAATACAGTTTTATCAGGAGGTAAAGAAAGAAAAAAAACTGCTTTTTTTTCTCTAATATAAAATTCAAACGTTTAATTAGGTACTTCAATGTATCCTGGTATTGCTGATCGTATGCAAAAAGAAATAACAGCTTTGGCTCCATCAACAATGAAAATCAAAATTATTGCACCACCTGAACGTAAATATTCAGTATGGATTGGTGGTTCAATTTTGGCTTCATTATCAACATTTCAACAAATGTGGATTTCAAAACAAGAATATGATGAAGCTGGTCCATCAATTGTCCATCGTAAATGTTTCTAAATTAGACGAAGAAGAAGAAGATCATCATCAAATAAAACAATTTGTTTTTTTTTTCTTTTTTTTCATCTTTTTCAAACAAACAAAACAAAAAGAAAACAACCTTCTTCAGTTGCACGCATACCATATTTCCTTACCCTATTTTAATGATGTGCCATCATTATCATTTCTTTTTATTCATCTTTTCTTTTTTTTTTGTCCCGATAACTAATGATTTTGTGCAATGACAATAGCATATATTCATAAGTTTTTTTTTGCGATCAAAAAAATATATCTTAATAATCTAACTTTCTTTGTATGAAATGAACAATGATGAACTATTTGTTTGATAGATGAATGAAGGGTACATCCATTGTACTGTTCAAGAAAAAAAAATCGATAAAAATAAGTCTAATACTAAAAGAAAACTAAATGTTGTATTCAATAGAGGAATGCCGGATGTCAATGAAAATAATTTGTTTCCAACACTTTTTTGTGTTGGCATTGAAATCGACATGCATATCTTTTATAATGACCAAATTTATAAGACACTTCAGCGATTATGCATAATAACGATTGATAAGTGCATTCTTTCATTGAAAGTCTTATCGAGTTAGTACCATATACTTTTCTTCGGATGTAATAAAGGTACGAACATATTGACATTGTGAAACAGTTGTTGATATAGAGTCGATTTTTGTTTGGCATTTGCACATATCAATCAAACTTACGAGGAAGATCCTCCAAATGTCCAATCGTTATTAGTGTAGACCATGTACATTATGTAGACCCAAAATGAGCTATGAATACCTTGAAAAGAGTTCGTAACCTTAGGTTATTGCTTCAGGGATACGGCACTTTTACGGTATTTTATATTTATAAGTGAATGTCATGGTATTATAAAAACTGATTTTTGAAGTTTGACTTGAAATTTTGCATAGAGACAGGCCTTAACCCTTTACCCCCGGATGTCCACTACAGTGGACATTAGAAAAACAGTTGTAAAAAATTAACGAAGCACGAGATCCAGAAACTGTAAGAACACTTTTTGTAGTAAATTTTATGGGCTNCAAAATTCAAAAATATGACCTTGCTGCAAATGTGGGGTCTTATAAAGAAAATTCATTAAAACCTCGATATCTCACTAGGAACAAGCTAGGGGCGCGAACTTTTTCTACGGTAGGTATAATTCATCAAGGCCTACAACATGCGCAAATCCCCGACTGAAAAGCGATCGGGCACCTGGGAATGTTCCCTTGTAAGCGAAAACTTTTATTTTATTAAACATTGAATGATGCAAAAGTGAATAACAAGAAATAACTGTACGTTTACTTTTTTTCTAACAATAGCTAAAATACATAGGGAATACGAGATATCAGGTTCGAGTCCACAAAATCGTGGATCCACAGTTCTCTCGTACTGTTATTGAGGAATAGAATAAGTCCTGTATTGTTACACAATGATCTTATCTGAACTCCTATATGGATCGTTTCAGACGAAACGAAACATGTTTATCGTTCATTCTTTACAAGGGTTATTTTTTGAATAAGTTCTTTTAACAGAGACATATGTTACGATGTTGACTTTTTCAGCTGATAATCAATTAAAAAGTAATTAGCAAATATCTCTCTAATCGCAGGAGAGTAAAATCCAAAAATTTCGGGATAGACTGCGACACGAACCGGATCTATGTTAAAAACGTTCAGCAAGATCGAACTCGAATAAAGCTTCCTGTTGAAAAACGGTTTTCTAGAGACTCTGTTTACTCCCGAAACAAATTTTTTTTCCTATCATTACTTAGAGATTTTGAACAAAGCTTTTTACCGCTTGCAATTAGTTTTGAACTTCTCAGTCGGTTATAAAAGCATTTTTTTCATTTATATATTCTTACTCCGTCACGTTGCTAGCATTAAATTTTTACTGTTAATTCCTCAGAACAAAAGTCTTCAGTACTGCTTTTTTTTTTTTGGAATATCTAGAGCAATGCAACATACATATAACATATAAAAATTAGCTCTAAAAAAGTCTATTGTTTCTAGACACACATGCTCTAATTTTGCAAAGGCACATCGCTAACGAATGATTTGGCTCATATATTCCTGTGTGAAATAAACGAAGCATCAAATTTTTCTAATTTCTTTATACGTTTATTTATTCGACTCTTATTTATATCACAAGTAAGGTGCTTATCAGTCAGATAATTCTGAAAGTTTCAGCTATAAATAACAAAAAAAAAATCATTGGAGAAATTGCAGCAATGTCTCAAGTACTCTTTTGTAACCATAATAAGAAGTGGTCGTTTTTTTAGAATCAACACTTTTAAAACGAAGAGAATTCTCTAAGTATTTTTGTTTGCTTCAGGCGAAAACTGTCCCAAAATAAGCAAAAACAATTATAAAATCCTATTGACTTTCTAAATGTAGATGTTAACAAAACACAGAAATAAGAAGAACAAGATATTTTTATCCCAGCTGGATATAAGTATATAAAATATAGTTACAATTTTCTTAATGAATTATTGTTGAAACTTTCAGAATATACTGATTAAAAAGCTTTTTACTTATGATGTATATAAGAAAATATTCCGTTTATTTTACACAGGAAGAATGTATTCTAAAAAAAAAAGTTACATTAATATCTTACTTGTTTGATAGACGATTATCAGAAGACGAAACAAAGTTTGGTGGTCCAGTATTATTTGAACGAATAGCAGTAACAATTACTGAACTTTCTCGTTCAAGATCACCTTTACCACGACGAGAAAGTGTACGTTGTGATTCTGAATACTCCTACAAAAACAAAAACAAAAAAAAGTAAATTAAAATAAATTAATAAAAATAAATACTCTAATGTTTCATTACAAATATTTCTTTTTAGATTCATCAATAGTGGTTAGCAAAAAAAGAAAGAGCCAAGCAAAAGAAAGAAACAAAATAATATATATATGTACCCAATATAAAAGAAAAAAATATATATGTCGTCAGTATATAGACAGCAAAGAAACCAATATATAAGTTTTTGTTTTCTAATAGTGGGAGCCTAAGTATATGTATATATAGATTTATAGATAGGTGCTGATCTACTTCACGCTTAGCAAAATCTCGACGAATGCGTGTAACAACAGCTGCAGTTCGTCGCATCGATCGACGAATGGTTGCATATGAATCGACAACTAAAACAGCAGCATTTGTTTGACTAACAATCTGTGCTAATGGTCGTCGATAGCATATATCATAACCCACCGATAAATCACCAGAATAAGAAAAATAATTATTTTGCGATTGTTGTTGATGATGACAATGATCTAGATTTGTTGGTTCCTAAGAGGTGGCAAGGCAAGGCTGATGATAATCGAAATAATAGAAGCAAGAGACAAAAAAAGGAACAAAGCTTTTGACAAGTTCGAGAAAAAAATGAAGGAGAAGCATTCATAAATTTGATAAGATGAATAATTGAAATAGAAAGATCATTAGTCAAATACCTCGAATATTGGCCAATTCATTTTCATTGTTGCACCATATGTATCCGACCACCATGATAAATCTTTATCTGGATCACAATTTTCAATTGTTTGAGAAAATTGTTGAAATATTGGTGATCTAGCAAAATAATAAAAACAAAAACATGAAATTTAGTTTGAAGTTTAACATCAATCAGATTGATAAAATCAACAATAAATATTCGAAAAAATTATTTCAGCTATAGAAAAATTATAATAATAATTAAATTTTATATTAAATAAATTGATTAATATTTTTCTGTTTCAGCTTATCATGATAACAGAAGAAAGTTTCCTATCAACATTTATCTTATCTATAGAAAATAAAACCCAACATATTCAAACACACTATAACGAAAATAATTCCGAGTTTCTTTTTTAACAAAATGACTTTTGAGCTATGTTGTATAACTTTTATTCGGAATTGGTCACGTTCAGACATATGGGAATAATTGATTATTTTTATCTTATACATACAAGATGGATCATAAATAATAATACCATAAAAAGAAAATGAGAATATCTCCACTTCAGTTCAATCTTATGGGCTCTTTAGAGGTCTCTCTTTTTTCTTTCATATCGATAACATACAAATAAATAATAGTTTGAAGTATCATTATCAAGTTTAGTAACATAGATTTGGAGTGGTCTCCTAGATCGTTTTCATTTGCTACCTAAGCCAATAACATACAAAAAAAGAAACAACACAAATGAACTTTATAAATGATATACATTTTCAAGAATGTACCTTTTTTCTTTCGGATTGAAATTTGACAAATTCAATTATACTTTTGAATTATTGAATACGAAATCATACATTGAAAGATACTATTTGTGATAGGTTGGCTTGATATGTATCAATGTAATAACCTTCATAAAGTTCATGTTACCGTTGGCTTTTGTTCGCTTCTTATTGCCGTCGATAGACATGTCTAGTAAACTCAATAAGGACACTTCAGTGCAGTATTTATTTGTATTACCGGTATGACAAAAGAAAATCTCTAAATAGCCTATTAAACTGAACTGAAGTAGAAATATTCTAATTTTTTTTTTAATGCTACAATTATTTCTGACCAACTCTATATATAGCCCTATATGTGTAGTGTTGCTGAAAATAGCATAGTTCAATTTACTTACTTCAATCGATGACTGATATCAAGACATTTTTCAGTATGGGCTAAAAATTCTTGAAATTTAACAAGACGATCTTTTTCAAATGCTTGACACCGGATAAAAACCTTTCATAGAAAGAAAAATAAATAAATAAATAAATCATTAATAATAATAATCATGATAATTAATATTTACATCGTTCATATCATCCATATATTTAGGATTAGCTCGATTAAGATCTTGAAGTGCTTCGGTATATTTAGCTTTAGCAGTTTCTTTTTCTTTACGAGATCGTTCAACTTTTTCAGTAATTTTAGCACGCTAAAAATAAAGAATAATTTATTTTTGTTTTTCAAATTATAATAATTCTATGTATCTACTTGTTCTGATGGAACTGAAGGATCAAGTTTAGAATTGTTTTCTTGTGTTTCAGCCGTTTTAAGAGTTTTTGTTGCAACATGATATTCACGCTTATATTTATCAACTTTAGCATATAATTTAGCCCATGGTTTTTGAGCCTATTGAGAAGGTAAGAAAAAAAAAAAAGCGAAGATCAAATAATGAAATTAATTTTAAAAAAAGTAAAAACAAAAATACAAACTCGTTTAAAATCTTCATCGAATTCTTTTGTTGATTTGATATGCATCATTGATTTAATATATTTTCCTTTTTGCCATAATTTTACTGATGGTATAACATCATTTTGTAAATCATCATGAACACTTTGATGAACTTCAGCTGTTGCATCAGCTTCAGCCATGATTGCTTTCCAAGCTGATGTCATTGAACCGAATTCAGATGCTTAAAAGAAATCATTCAATAGAAATAGAAATTATTAAAAGGAAAAGAAAAAAAAGTTACATTTTGCTACATAGTCAGACCATTTTTTTGACCAACTTTTAAGCATTTTTGAAAATGATTTCTCAAGTTCAGCACGTTCACTAATCATACTCATAAGATCAGTTGTTAATTTGTTTCCATCGTCACATCGTTTTACAACTCGACCATATTTCCCAATCTATATAACGAATTAAATTATATAGCAAATAATAAGAAAAACAAATTGTTTATTTGTTTTTTTTTTTTTTTTTCTAGAACTTAATACATACTTCCCAAAATGAATCCGTTTGTGGTAAATAAAGATCACTGTCTGGATTTGATTTATCACTAATTATTGAATCCATGACAGAATAACAAATAGATTACAACGAAATAAAAAATGAAACAATCTAAAAGCAAACTAAAAAAGAACAAAAAGTTTCTTTTTTTTTTTTGCAAAGTAGATTATTTTTACTAGTATCATTGATTTATCACAAAATTAAAAAACAAAAAAACTTGTCATTTAATCCGTAGATAAATGTCATCTCATGGTGCATTTCTATCATGCGCACAAAAATAAAAAAACATATTTATATCATGTGATATATAAACGGCAAAAGACAGTACAAGGTTAAGAATAATTATCAGACATGAAATCAACAAAATCACGATCATTATTTAAGAAACATATGCCTTTCATTTAACTATGAAGAACAAGCTGACATTATGACTTATTCTTCATTCTGATTTTGATGAAGAAGCATAAAAATAATAATTTACAAGAATCTTCGTTATCATACTCACAAGAGTATATAAAAACAAAAAAAATAAAAAAACGGTTGGATTTCTTAAGTCACATTAATCTGTTAGCACAACATTCTCATCAACCAGATTTACGTCAAATGAACCATATTACTTGTTTATATGTGTGTGTCGGTCTTTTTCTTTCTCTCATATAGTCGATCAAATTTCTCTTTTTCACAAATTCTCTCATTTTTTTTCTCTTCTTCTTCTCTCCTGTCTTTTCCAGTGTTCTAGGTTTTCGCAAAAGACAAAAAAAGGAAAGAAGAAGAAGAAGAAGAAGAAGAAGAATATAGAAATACATGACCGATTTGATTTTATTACCTATCGATTGCTTAGATAAACCGAGGGTATAGAGAAAAAAACTAAAATGACAACAACAATAATGACTTTACTTAGTAAATCCTTGACGATTGCAATAGAAATAAATGAGATAGAAAAAGAAAGATAAGGATGAATGAATATTATACGGTCTATCGGTAATAGACAATGATCATATCGCGTATATTTGTTAACTGAACTAACGTTTAAAATATTGTGTATTCGAGACAGCCGATTATGATCTTCGTATTTGTATATATTCCTTTTTGTTACGTCCCTCGAGCAGTAAAATAAATTATTTTTATTTTCCCAAATGAGAAATTAGCCAAACTATTCATGTTCTATTTCCGTATAGAAATAGAAAATAAATGGATAATAGATCAGTGAAGAAAGGAAATAATGTTGATGGCTAAATTGAAAGAAGCACTACCTGTGCGTTATGACTATTGTTATTGTTGTTTTTATTCTGCTTCTTCTGTTCATTCACAGTTCAGGTCAATTGATGCCTTATCGACAACATCAACACTACCGACGCCTCGACAACAACGTAATGTCAGAGAGCATATACATATATACATACGAAAAGAGAGAATGAGTTGAAGTATGTGAACGAATAATTGTTCGGAGTTCATCTCCGTTGTTATGGTAGGAGAAAAAGAAGGAAGATGAGAATGAACGATTTCTTGTGGTTGGTATGTGATGTTCAATGTATAACGATGTATATATATTATTGAACATTCACGAAAATGCAAATGATCTTGAATTCATACGATCATGAAATCAATGGATGTTAACCTTCGTTCTCTTTTATGTTAATGAGAGAATTTAGATTCAATGTTATCCAACTGGAAAATTTCTATGTTAATTATAGAAAAAATTTCGAAAGAAAAGTCTACTGAATTATTCTTTTTCATATAATTTTTATGTATTATTGAAACAAAAGAAAAAAGATAAGTTAATCTTACCGGAAAATTATATTCACTTAGATTTTTCTTTATATAATAAAGGTAACCCAAAAACGTGCATTCTAATTGTCTAAAAAGTAAACTAACCTGAATTCTGATATACTTAGAAAGGCAAAAGCGAATGAATAAGTAAGAAAATTTTTATGACTAAGCAAACAATAATAAACAGAAGGAAAGAAGAAAAAAAATGAATGAGAGGAAAAGAAAAACATATTCTTATAGTTTCATTGGTGATTAAAAATAGTTTAAATATAATTAATTATTTTATTATTTATTTTATTTGAAGAATTTATTTTAAAAAGTAGTTTTAACTATAATTTTCATATCTTTCGTAAATAAAAAGATGTCGCTAAATAAACAGCCAATTACTAATCGGTTTTCCGGTGTAACAAATCACGATTTAAACAAAAAAAAAACTCGTTGGCATTTTTTTTTCTTGTTCATAATAGTTGCTATTTTATTAGTTAAATAATGGCATCGTTAGTGAGTCGTGGTTTAGCACAATTAAAGAGCAAAGAAATGCGTGATTATTTAATGAGGTAAAATATAGTATATTCTTTAATAATATTTTGATTTTTAATAAATTTTAGCACGGTAAGACATCATATAAATGATTTGTTTGATAATCTTATTTATTTTTATTCTATTCATATGAATAGCATTTTTGGGGACCAGGTAAATATTCTTATTGATTAATAATAAATTCATGACAAAAAAAAATTTTTTATTTTTATTTATTTTTAGTTGCTAATTGGGGTTTACCATTAGCTGCAATAGCAGATTTAAAAAAAGATGCTGAAATTATTAGCCCAAAAATGACTGTTGGTAAGGATTAAACAAATGATTTTCTTTAATATTTAAATTTAATTTAATTTTTATTTTCACATAGCTTTATGTTTCTATTCAATGCTCTTCATGCGCTTTGCACTTCAAGTGAAACCAAAAAATCGACTTTTATTTGCCTGCCATTTTGCTAATGAATGTGCACAATTGGTCCAATTGGCAAGATTTCTTAATTACAAGTATAAACGTCTTCTTTTAGTTTGTTTTTCTTAGTAATTATTTTTATTTCTTTAAGGTACGGTACACCACAGCCGATGAAACAATATAAAGTTCCATCAACTGCTGTTGATTCAAAATCAAATGCACCATTATCCGTTCAACCTACACGTTCGGCATAACGAAATAAAAATTAGATTTAAAAAAAAGAATCATAGTAGTTTTCAAGTTTTTTTCTTCTCTACTTTGGCATTTGCTGTTTTTTCACATTTCTTCTCTCTCCGTCGTAGATTAGGTTATCCAACATTTTCAGTCAACTATTTAAGTGTTAAGTCTTCATTAAATATGATGTGATGATAAGTAAAAACTTTAAATGATAAACAAATGTATGTTATAGACTATCAAAGAACTGAAATAAATGTGAATACAGATTATTCTTCTGATGTGATTGCTGTAGATTGTGATTTTAATTTTAACGAATAGAAAGTTTTGATGAAATATTATTTTAGTGTGGGTTTATTATTTTATTTTGAAGTGTTGGAAAGTCAACATGTTTAGGAATTTCAATATTTTGTATTGACAATAGTTCATAAGATAATAATGAATCCATTTTGTTTTCGAAATCAATCATTAAAAATAATTAAAGTCAATCTTCAAATAATCCGATACTTTCATTAACATCATATGAAAAGTATTCTATAGTTTATTGATGTTTATTTTATTCTGGTTGGAAAGAGAAATAAAATTGCATTGAATTAACAACTAATATCATCATCCTTTCTCAATATGAATTACAGAATGAATATCACGCATTAGGGCTTTGCATGTTTATTTCAATATAACAGGTAGGTCATAGTGAATCGAACTAATTGTAAATGCAATTTTTCAATCATTTAATATTCATTTATATATATATATATATCAAAAAATGGAGAATATCAAGCTCTATAAAATTGGGTACTTCACTTTTGCAAAGAAGATTTCTTTTTAATTTCAAAGCAACTAATAGTTAGATACACTGTAAAGCGGAGGCAACTTATTTTTTTTAGATTTTTTCTCAAGGATAACTTATTGAAGAGATTCAAATAGTTGTTTCGATAATTTTCAGAGCGGCCTACAAAAATTAGATGCAAACAATTTTTATAGCATATTTCTTTTAGTTTTTAGTATGCAAAAACATTTTCTCTAGTGCGAGAACGCTTAGCACATATGAGTATTTAGCCAATATTTTTGTTATCCAACGATAACTAAAAGCTGTTTTATACTCTGTTCAGTAGACTAATCAATGGGCTAAGTTTTGGTAAAGAGTACTCATTCTAATATCAAACTATTAATTATGAATTAATTCATAATATTTCGCTTTGTTTTCAACTACGAGATATTCGATGAGAAAGAGTATTAAAAATTGAATAAAATGATGTAATTATTACTTCAAAATAGATCCTATTGATGAGATTTTCAGTTTTCACTGGTCATAATGCTTTTTAATTTTAGCAAAGTCAATTACCAAACGGAACTTTAAGTTCGGGAAAACTAGCGTGTCTTGAAGAGCAGCATTCACTAGTTCAAACGATACATCGTTGCTCATTGAGTAATGTTTCGTGGAAGTGTTGTAGTATCCAAAGCTTTAAAAAGTAATTGAGACAATAACTTACAACCACTCTCCTGTAGTTTTGTAGTTCATAATTTGAAAGTGTTGTAACATTCGAAAAAAAGTATTGCATTGAGGACAGTGACATTTTATTCGAATCAGCCACTTCTGCTCTCCAAAACACGCTAGTTTTACGAATAATCCGAGTTCATTGAAAAGTTTTTGAATTTTTTTCGAAAAATTTCGGAATAATCTCACATTCATTATCAACACGAATGACAAGTAACGGATACAAAAACAAATTTTTAATATACGTATAATTATTATTTTCGCTTATTTTCTTTGGTATTACAATGCTAGAGGAAGAAGCGTTTGTTTTTCCATTACAATGTTAAAAAAAAGAAAATAATAGTTGTACACATTCAAATTTCTTAAAAATATCCTTTACTTGCCACCCGTGTTGATAATGCACTGAAGATCAGTCTGATATATTCACAAGTTTTGTCCAATAGATTCAAAACATATAAAATGATCAGTGACCTCCTATTATCCGTTATTAATCTATTTACATATATCTCATTGAACGAAACCTACATTATTATTAAGAAAGTTTATCCGTTTAATCGTCGATCTCGATTGAAGTGTAGATATGACAAGGGGGAAAGTGCTGGCACCCAGCACCCTGGCA